TGCACTTTATTTATAATAAATATTTTTCACTAATAAATATTATATTTATAATTAATTATATAAGTTAATAAATAATAAATACTATATAAGTTATAGTAATTATAGTAATTGTTGTAAATGATGATAATTACGGTAATTATTATAAATGATAGTAATTATTATAATTGTAATAATTGTTAAAATTATGAAAATTATAGAAATTATGGAAATTATGGAAATTATGAAAATTTCCAGTTGTAACAGTGCAGATTTTCATCAAGAAATACAGAACATGATTGAAAGACTTAGTTTTATTACTGATTTAGTGATAATCAGAATCACTGTGAAATATAACTTTTTTCTCCTTCACTTACTCATTCTTACTTTCAACCATCAAAAATAAAATAATATATTCCACTTCTTCGATCTCATGGAATTAAAATTTCTAACTTTTTTGACCTTTGTGAATATTTATTAAAATAAAACTTTGTCTTTTGCAAATCAATAACTAATAACAATAAAAAGATTGATAAGAGTATCTTTTCTAGTAGGTTAGCTAAAAATAATAATAATCTTTGTCAGAAATATCACTTTCAACTTGCTATAAAAAAATATTTCTATATTATTGGAGAGTATAAATATATTTGATGTGGTGTCATTGCTCCAGAAATATAAATAATACTTTTTCTCAACATTCTGCTTGACAATATTTTTCTAATTCTTGCAGGAACTCAAATCTTAAAAGAAGAAAAAAATGTTATAATTTAAATTTATTCAGATCATACGGAAGTTAATGTTAAAAATTTTAAATTAGAAACTATATCATAATTTATCTTAATTCCTTAAATTAATAGTAATTATTAATTAGTTTAGATTTGATATTAATTAATTTAATATAGATTGATACATGAATAAATAACATTCCTTTTGTAATATCTAAATTTTTCTTTGTTGTTATAGTAGTTCACTTTAATTGTGATCTAGATAATTATCAATCTTACTCCATGTTTTATCTATTATTAATATTGATTATAAATACTTTAAATTATTAATAATTGCTAGAATATTCTATTAATAATGTAATTTCTTATATATATACGTTGTTATGTTCTTGGTAATAATACAATTAATTATAATAAAAAAATATTTAAATAAAATATAAACTGTTCTCTTATTAGTTACGTAGAAAATTCTTATATAAATTATAGAACTAAACACAACAATTTGAAAAATGAAAATGATAATTGAATCAAAATATGATTTCATACACAAAGATCTATACTATTTTAATATACCTTAACAATATTATAACTCCAACTTTTTATATAAATAATCAATAATTTAATTATTTTAATTAATTTATATTAATTATTAATTATCATAATTAATTCATTTAAAAATTATTATTAATTAAATTTAGTTAAAAATTTTAAAAATCATAAAAATTCAAAAATATATATATATATAATCACTTTTAATTTTATCATTTATATTAAAATTTATTTTGTTTACTTTCTATTATATCATCTATTAATTTTAAAAACATTCCACTGGAAATTCAACAATTAGCAATGGAATTATAAACAAAAATTCAACAACATTGTCCTGAATATTAATTCATCATCAATCATAATAGATCATATTTCATCACTACTCCATCACTTTATGAAGAAACAAATAATAATAATAATAGTGAAAATAGTAACTCAATATTATTAACTGAATTTGAAAGTCGTACTATTAATGGACTTATTAATGTAATGACTAATTCTAAACAAACTGAGACATTACTAATATATTTCTCTGATAAAGTTTCACTATTAGTTTATGTTGACTTATTCTTTACCAAACAATATACTAAAACTGCTTTTTACTTTGAAATTGAACAAATTATCAATAACCTAACAACTGAATTAACTATTATACAAACAATAACTGAAATCAAATACTTGTTTAAGAAGAATATCTCTTTACATAACATTACTGTAAAAGTGTTAGTTGCTCTAAGAATTTACAATTATTTCAAAAATTTCTTTGGAACATTAAATTATAAAAAGATTTCAAATTGAGTTCAATTGAAAGATTGAATAAACAAAATAGTGATGAACTTAAAGAATGAATTATTAAAATGTTTAAATAAATAGAAATGAACTCAGAAAAAATAGATTTAAATAATATTTTAGTTTAATTATTTTTTTTTACTTTTATTTTTTATTTTACTTTTATTTTTATCTTACTTTATATTTTTTTGTTTTATTCTTATTTTATGAAGTAAAATATTTAACAATGAGAGTTCTGTTGTAATTAGATATTTTTCATAATTATAAATAATTATTTTACATGATTGTTTCATATAATTACTTTAAATGATCACTCTAAATAATTATTCTAAATGATCATTTCAACTGATCATCTCAAGTACTCTGAATGATCATTGTAAATAATTATTTCAAACAATTATTTCAAATACTCTGAATGATCATTTTAAATACTCTGAATGATTATTTCAAATGATTATTTTATAATTATCAAATACTTATAAATATATCTTGTATCTTAGCTTAAATCAAAAAATAATAATAATCAATCAATTAAGTTTTATATCCTTTTAATAATACTTTAGATAGTATTTTCATAATCTCTCATCTTAATTGTAAAGTTATTCTTGTATTTGTTTTATAATCTCTTATCACTATTGTGAAGTTATATTATTTTATACATTCTTGTATTTGACCTCTCGTTTATATTGCAAAGCTAATAATAATAAAAGAAAATTATATCTTACTTATTTATAAATCAACTTTAAAAGAATACTTGACTTATTATAAATTGAATTATAAAAGGCACAATTACCTTTAAATCTTTCTGATCTCATTTTAGCTGATCAACAAAATGAATATACATTACCTATCTTTAGATAACTTAGTAAACTCTTCCAACTTAAAGTTATTTAATACATCAATTCTTTCATCTAACTCTATCATGTGTACTCTCATGACAAAATATAAGTTATTTTAATAAAATTTTGATTTTTTTTTGTCAAAATTGTTCAAAGACATGTCCAAAGCTATTTCGTGACAACACTGCTCTAGGCTAAATAGGTAACAATATTGTTACCTACTCTATATAATAATCTTAGTCCTAAATCTAAACCTAATCATAATCGAAACTCTATTTAATATTATTGGTGTCGGTATTGAAATCACATGATTTGTAACTTTTTTCGCCATGGCTAGGTATTAGATCTGCAGGATCTACTCGAAAAAACAATCCACGATGCATAAAGATTGTACAAGTTGAATAAATTTCTAACATATATCGATATATCCTATTTATTTATTTTGACAATATTATTAATTGCTTAAATTATGCCGTTAACACCATTTACATTACAGAAAATAATAAGTGATCTTGCTCTCGAGGAAGCCCAACAACAGTCTTCCACGCCTTCACAAACTACCACTTCCGCGTCCTCTCCAATTTCACTCTTTCATCGCCGTACAAATGCTAATTCTGGTGGCGCGGGAAGTGGTACGCGTTTTGGCAGTGGCATTGGCTGGGGTGCTAGAGACCGTGTTACTGTGGAAACTGTCGAGGCTTGGGGTATGTGCATGCATTAAGTTGTCTCATTTCTTGTTAAATGTGATGCAAATTTTGCATTAGCATTTAATATGAGCATTCTTTAAATAAAACAATATAGTAAATAGCCCGAAAATTGGTTCTAGTCTAGCTATTAAAAACTAAATTGACAATATCTTTTTTTATCTTTTCCAGAAAACAATATATATGTAGGAACGTCCGATGGACATTTAATTCACTACGTTCTCGAAGATCAAACAAGTTCAGAGAATGTATGACAATTTGAAATTCAAGAATTGTTGTTGCGTTATACGGTATACTTGATTAATGACAATCTCAATTCCCAAATATATATATATACATAATATAAAACGATCAAACAAAAAATTGAAATTTTAAACAATGCAAAAAGCCCATTCCAAAAAGTTATTTAATTGATAAACAAAAATTGGGTTTCGGTCGAAAACTCGTCGAACGTATACTACTACTACCACAGATCCAAAAAGCTGTAATACTATGCGGCAAGTATCATCATCACGGAAAAAATATATGAAAAGGAAAAAAGTAATAATTACATCTTTTTCTATTGTACAGATTCCACGTTATCATTCTATGCACTTCCAGAGATGACACCCTTGCCTGTTAGCGCATTTCCTCACATCAAGGGTGTCACATGTTTTACGCATGATCTCGCAAAGGAAGGACAAACGGAAACTGATGGTTCCGTAAAACTATGTGTACTGAAGAAACGCACAGTTCACGAATTTTCATTGCTTGAAAATTTAGTGGAATGTTCACAGGTACGCCGTTGCCATTGATTGTAATAAAGACAATAAAAATTATTGTATTAACGGGATTTTTTAATCACAAGAGCATACCATTACCGCATGGGGGTATCGTTTGTTGTCAGTATGGCTCTTCTTTGTGTATTGCTGATAGCACACATAATTATAGACTCATCGATCTTGATTGTAAGCGCATGATCGATTTGATGTCACCTCAAGAGCGTAGCTCGATATACGGGAGTGGAACATTTAAACCAATAGTGACTGTTATAGAAAAAGGCGAATTCCTATTGGTGTTGCCACCAGATGCTGGTCATATCCTTTTAATAAACAAATAAAAACGTAAATAAAATAATAATTTGAATATTTCCTTAACTATCACTTTTGTTATTACAGAATACTACAATTGGTCAATTTATGTCTTCGGCTGGTGAACCTGTTCGTGGAGTATTACAATGGACAAGTTTTCCAAGAGCAATAGGTTATTAATTTTTGCATTAGGAAAATATTTTTTTGTATTCTAATAGAAAAAGTATTTTGATGGTCTTTAGGAGTTGAATATCCATACGTAGTGGCATTGCTTCGTAACAATACGATAGAGATACATAATGTGATAGATCAGAATTTAGTGCAAACTGTACAACTGGCCCCTGCTGAGGCACGAACTATATCACAAGGGCCAGGAATCAAAGTATGGGTATCCGCATTACTTGAGCGATTGAGATGGGAAAATGGGTTTTCATATAAAGATGACGATAATGAAGATTCTCATGATTTTGAAGGAGAGAATGAACGTGCTTTAAGTTCGAGAAAGAGTGACGATGCATCAAAAGAAGATTCAAAAAATTTACCATCAACCCCTGAAATATCTCAATTGGACTTTCTCGCAACAGTACCAACTCGAATAATAATAGCAGCACGGGATTCTATATTGGCTTTAGCGCCTTCACCTTTAATTCTTCAGGTTTGTTACTAAACCATCAATTTAATAAAATTATATGATAATTTCACTTATGATAAAATTTGTTAGGTTGATTCATTGTTGGATGCTAATCGTATAGAAGAAGGGTTAGCATATGCTGATGAAGCTGTGTCAAGACTTACTGATAACGTGCATCGAAAAAGGATGGTAAGATATAATTTTAGATAGTCTATTGATAATTATTTTTTATTCTATTGGTTAATTGTTTAAACTTTACAGCAACATGAATTAAACTATATTTACCAAAAATCTGGATTCATATTGATCGGTGAAACTCTGTTTGATATTGCGCGTGATTCTCTTGATCGTGGACATACCGATCCTAGAGTAGTTATTGGGTTATTTCCTGATCTGAAGCGTTTGGTTGATAAAGATTGTAGCCTACATGTGTATGCAGGTGTTAAAGTTATTTTAGATCGATTAGGCAGCATTGACGATGTTGGTACGTAGTATTCAATTGTTGTTCACAATTTTCAAACCATTATTTTCTTATTATTTATTTTGCCATTTGTGCTTTTGATAGTATTTAAAAGCTTGATAAAGAATTATGAACCACATATAAAACCTAACGTTCAGTCATCACCGGCAACCCAAGGGCTCCGTAAACAATTATTAGCCCATGCGAATGAAATGCTGCAAAAATATTTAACCAAAGATCGGGAAAATCGCAAATCGAGTAAAGGTCCACTAAGTGAACTTGATCGGAATATCCTAAAGGTAGGTAATTTCTCCTTTACGGGATTTCGTTAGTTATATTTTAGTCACAACACACGTATCAAACTATTTATTATTCCACAAAGGCGGTGGATAATGCTCTTGTGCAGTTATATACTACTTCAGATTCAAAAGAACCTTTGATTTCATTGTTGAAAGATGAGAACGAATGTTCGTTGGAAGATTGCGAACATATTTTAAGCAATTACGGAAAGTATTATGCGCTTTCCCTTTTATATCAAAGTAAAAAACAATACGCAAAAACATTGAAAATATGGCAACAGTAGGTAGTCAATTGCTCTTTTATGAATGCATAGAGTCAAGATGCAATTGAATGTACAGTTTGTTTAGTAAGGAGTGTTTTTTGCCTCTCTAGAATGATGAATAATGAGAAACCGGATCCTGATTTCAAAGATGGTCTAAAGCAAATGGCAGATCTTTTAACACAGACAGATGACTCGGATTTGGTATGGGAATACGCGAGCTGGATCATATCCAAGGATCAAATACTGGGAGCTCAGGTAGAATTTCTACGCTAATTTCTTTACGTTGGACTAGAATATATTGAAACAAATCTACGATCAAAAAGATATGTATTAGACCGAATCTGCGAAAGCCACTTATCGTAGAACCAAACAAAGTTATCGAAGCGTTGGGTTCTGTAGGCTATGAAGGCTTAACAATGTATTTAGAACATTTAGTTTTGCAACGGAAAAGCGAGGTATTTGCTTAATATATTTTTATGCTTGTATCTGTGAGATGAAGTTTATTCAATATCAATAAACAAAAAATTCAGGAAGAATCGCATCATACAAAACTTTTGTTACTTTATATTGGAGAAATTCTGCGTGAATTGGAAAAAGATGAAGATAAATCCAAGTTAATAAAATTAAGTGAGTTCATTTAAATTATAATTTTTAACTCGTATCTCGATTAATATTTAATCTCTATCTTTCTGTTTGAATTGGGAAACACAGCAAAAGAATTTCAATATATAAGCAAAAATTCCTCGATGACATACATATCATTTTTATCAAATCGACCTTCAGATGATGGGATATCTCACGCACGACTCAAAGCTATAATGTTTATGCAACAACAATCAACACGCTACGAAGGTAAAGCCATCCTAGAAAAATTACTTGAATCCAAGCAAGATTTGTATCCGGAGTTAGCCATAATTTACGGAAAAGTAAGATTATTATTTCTAGGTTTTTTAAATTAAAATGGTGTTATATTATACCGTCAATTTATGTAACTAATCAAACTGTTTAAGTTAAACGAACACGAGAAATCCCTGCATATATTGGTTGATCAATTGAAAGATTATCGTGGTGCCGAAGCTTTTTGTCTATATGCTGGTCGAATGATTGGCATAAATAGGAAAACTTCAGAATTGTTATCCCCTGCTAAGTTAAAGCGACAAACTGCGGACAATCAGCGAATATTGGAAGATAAACGTTTGATAGGATTGCGAAAAGCTTTGTTTTTAAAGTTGCTTAAAGTTTATTTGGGGATGAAGAATGGGTACATATAAATCACTATTGTATTCCATCATGCTCGATGACAATATTTTTGATTATTCTTTTATTTGATTAAAGAGATGATTCCGTTGATCAGATTGTTGATCTGTTGAATAAACAAGCCAGTTATTTTGACATAGTCGAGGTTTGTGACTTACATTTAATCTACGTTTACTACAACTTTTATATAATTGTTTCCTCGTGTGAATTGTTAGGTTCTTCGGTTATTACCAGAAGTATGGTCAATCGAGATGTTGAGTGAATTTCTAATACGGTCACTTCGACAAAGTTATCACGATTATCGCGAGTCACAAATTTTGAAAGGGTTATTACGCGGCGAGAATATGATGGTACGAACAATATATTTAGATATTACTGTCTATTCTAAGATACAAAATTAATTATTCTTACTATACAAACAGGTAAACTCCGAACTATACAAAGCCTACGATGAAGTTGGCCCTATTGTCATCACATCCAATTTACCATGCGCCTCATGCAACAAAATTATAACCGATTCCATGGTTTTGCGACAGCCAAATAAAGATATTATCCATTTACATCATAAAAATAACGAGAGTGGTAGTAGTAATAGAGCTGATGTGCCAGTAGAAGCAGAGTAATTGTTAAGTATACATTAGAAAGTGCAAAACAGTCGATCATAATTTATAGATTTATTTTTTGTATCTTATACTTTATAAAATGAAATGTTTAACAATAACGATAACTTGAATATGAATTTACATTATTATATACGTTTCACATTCGATGACCAATTAAAATGAATTTTCAACGAAGCAGCTGATCAAAGGTTTGTCACTATTTTTAAGGTTCAAAAAAATAGGGTAAAAAACCAATACGGGAATGTTGCTTATATATGATAATAACAATTGTAGCATATTAGAATAGTGTGCTTCGGAACAGTGCTGAATCACGTGGTCTTTGATACAAGAAAATAAAAAATGTGAAAAATGTGGAAAATAGATATCAAATCTAGCTGAAGTACTAATAAAAACTGTCAAAAAAGCAATTTTACATATAATTTTATTCTTAGATCTAATTCTAATCCTAATTCAAATAATAAAATATCAATTTTTTGAATGTGGATTTTTGAAAATTATGTAATTCTGTACTGTTTCTAAGCACTATTCATAAACTTTTTGATAGCAAAAAGAATTTACACTCAAAAGTTTTGTGCATTCACTTAATTAAACAAATCAAATAAACATTAAATTCATTTTTATTTTTAAGTTAACAAAAACTTTTGAATTATATAATTAAAATTAAAATAACTAATTAATATATCATATTGCATTATTATAATAAAATAATAATATAATTAAATCTATAATATTATACATATTATCATTTGTTATATTATTGTATAATGGAATTTCATATTAATTATTAGTTAAAATTATCATTTAATCTTATTGAATAATTTTAAAAACACATGTTTATATTTTAATTAGTTAAAATCTTTATATTTACATTTTGTATTATATTATTTATATTATTACCTATATTATTATTTATATTATTATTTATATTATTATTTATATTATTATTTATAAATATTACATAGATCATTTATTTAGATTATATTAAATGATTTATATTTATATTAGATTATAAGACAAGTAAATAAGCAAGTAATCAAGCAAGTGAATAAGCAATTTTCTTGTGAGAACATTGATAGTTTAATTTAATAATTTTATATAAAAAAGCATGTATTTTAGCTTAGAAAAAGTCAATCAGTCAAGTTCTAAATATTAATAACTCAAAAATAAACTCTTTTGATAATAATGCTCTTTTAAAATTAATATATTTAGTATAACAATTTTCATATACTTTTGTAATTTCTTGTATAATATTCATTATTTTCATGTTATATTTACCATTTTTTCATAACATATTAGAAATTAATACAGATCTATATTTAATACTTCTTAATGTTTTACCAAATAGATTAGATATAAAATGTAGATCATATTATTAATTTAAATATATCTTGTTTTTAATTCCTTTTCTTTTTATTTGTTCTTTTCTTTTTTTTCATTTATTATTTTTAAATTCATGTTAATTACTTTTTATTATTATTTATATTTTATATATATCTAATTAAGTACAGCATAACTTGGAGACACATCACCTTTAAGATTAATAATTTAGAACCAATCATCCTCTATTTTATTATTAATTTATTTATAATTTGTTAAATATTAATTATATATTTAACTGTTTCTGTTTTGTACTATAGTTCTTTAGATCTTTCCACTATTTAATAAATAAAGAATAAGCTTTATTAAAATTAAAAACTATCTCAATTAATATAATTTATTTATAACAATTAATAAATATTATTCATGTAAGAAAGTATTCTTATAACTTGGTAGCAGCAGATAAAGATTATTAAAGCTATAATATACACTTTACAAACACACTTTCCATATATACACTTCATATATATACTTTAAACACTCACACTCTACACTTATCAACACATATATATTACAATGAATTAACAACAATTTACACAATTTATGAATGGATTTGCCTCTTTGCTTAAATAACAACAAATTCTTACTGACATTATTCAATTTCATCAAAACCAATTGGAAATACAAAACCAATAGCTTCAACAGTTATAGCAACAACAAGATGAAAATGCTACTGGTAGTGGTAGTGATCAAGTATCTATTATAAATAATAATGGTGAAAATAACAATTCAAAAATTTCAGTCAAAATTCCAATTTATAAAGGTAAACCAAATGAAAATGTTTTGGTTTGGTTACTAAAAATTAAAAGTATCTTCATCACTCAAAATATTACTAATAATGAAATAAAAATAAATTACACATCAACTGAACTTGAAAATACAACCTTTCACTAATATTTCAACAAGTTAAAGGCAAATATCAATAACACTAATCTTACCTTTGCTGATTTTGATACTTTTGTTCAAGAATTATGCAATGTTTTTCAATCATCAAATTATCAACAGCATTTGAGAAGATAACTTCACCAAACTGATACAATTCAAGAATATAATACCAAGTTCAGAAATCTTGTTAAACAAATAGAAAATATGAGTGATTTAGACCAAGTCATTTACTTTATTGATGAATTAAAATCAACAACAAAAATGAAAGTAAGCTATCAAGTACTAGAAAATTTGGAAGATGCATGAAAACTAGTTATTAGATATGATATAGCTATATTTGATATTGACAAATCATTCAACAATAATTTCTCTCACAAAGTATCATTCAAAAAAACTTCATAATTCAGTTATAATATATCAAATAACACTATAAATACACCTATAAAATTAAATCATGCTGAGCAATTCAAGAAAAATTTTATTTCTAATAATTTCAACAATAATAAAATTAAAGATAATTGTTATAAATATGATAAACCAGATCATTTCGCTAAAAATTGCTATTCAAAAGACAAGACAAGAATGAATAACATTGAAAAAATTGCAGAATCTTCTATAAAACAACAAAATAAAAGAGTAGAATTTACTTATATTACTGACAATAAAGAAAAATTATTGAAATTTAATGATTCAGTTAATGAAAAAATGCTTGAATCTTGTTAAATAGTGATATATCAAAAAATTTTGTTAATGAAAAGTTTGTTCAAAAAAATCATATTAAAGCTGAGAAGATACAATCAATCACAATAGAATTGGCTGATGGCAAGAAAATTATAACTATAACTACAGTTAATATTCAAAACTTGAAACTAAGTGCTTACAAAATCTCTGAAATCAATGCTCAAGTTCTCAATTTACAATATTATAACTTGATACTTGGAAAACCATGACTATTTCATATTAATTCAACTATTGATTGGAGAAATAACACTTTGACTTTTAACTATGACAACAAATCTATTAAAGTTATAGCAGATATTAATTCAAATTCATCTAATTATAATTTCATCTACATCTCTTATTAATAATTATTCAATTATTCAAATAATACTGAATTATTTGCAATATGTTTATCCAATGTTGAAGACAAAGAAAAAATATTAACACAGAAGTACATAAAATAATTCAATAATTCTCAAAAGAACTATTAGCAAAACTTCTATTCACAAGAGCAATTGATCATAAAATTGATTTAATACCTAGAAGTGAATTATCATCTCATCCAATATATAGATTATCATTTGTAAAAATAAATGGATTAAAAACTCAATTAACTGACTTGTTAAATAAAGATTTTATTTATCCAAGTGTATCATTATTTGGAGCATCAGTTTTATTTGTTTATAAAAAAGAAGAAACTTTGAGACTATGTATTAACTATAGAGCTCTCAACAAAATATAGATATCCATTATCTCATGTAGATGAACTTATAAATAGATTAATTAAATTAAAATACTTTACAAAACTTGATTTATATTTTGAATATTACCAAATTCATATTGCAAATGAAAATATTTATAAAACTGTATTTAGAACAAGATATGAATACTTTGAATTCTTAGTTCTACTCTTTGGATTAACAAATACTTCAGCAACTTTCATGACACTCATAAACAACATCTTTTAATAATACTTGAATAAATTTATTATCATTTATTTGAATGATATTTTAATTTACAACAAGATCAAAAAAGAATATCTATAATATTTGAAGACAGTATTAAAAGTATTATAAGAAAACAAACTGTATGTAAAGTTAAAGAAATGTGAACTCATCAAATAATATATTGAATATCTTGATTACTTTATCTTAGCAGATGGAATCTTAGTTGATCAATACAAAATTACTGTAATAAAAAACTGATTAAAACCAAAAAATATATCTGAATTGAAATTATTTCTAGAACTAGCAAGTTATTATTACAAATTTGTACAAGGCTTTTCAGTAATAGCATTACTATTGACAAAGCTTTTACATAAAGATTAAGAATATAATTGGCAAAAAGCAGAACAACAAGCTTTTGAAACTTTAAAATAACATTTAATCACAGTACTAATTTTGATATTATCTAATTCAAAATTATCTTTTACAGTAATAACTGATACTTCAAAATATGCTATTGGAATAGTACTAAATCAAAAGCAAGATAAAGGTAAACAACCAATTGCTTATGAGTCAAAAAAACTTACTACAGCTAAACAAACTATCTAATTTATAAAAAAGAATTATTAGAAATCATTCATGCAATTAGACTTTGGAGATTATATTTGGAAAATCAAAAGTTTACTATAGTAATTGATCATGCTTCACTTGAATATATTAAAACTCAAGGCAATTTATCTCAAAGACAAGTACACTATTATAACCTGGAATTATTTCTAATTTCTTAATTTCTTAATTTCTTAATTCTGGTCATATAACTGAATATAGATTATAGAAATAGCAGAGTTCTCAAACATATTAACCTTATCCACTATATCATATTTATCTAACATATATAACATATCCCACATTGTAATAACTTAGTCATAAAATTATTTATATAAATAAAGGATCTTTTAAATAAATCAAAAGATATCAATTGATTAATACAAAATCTAGCTAGTCAATAAATCACTTCTTGTTTATTATTTAATGAAATTGTATATTAATTAATTTTATAATTATTAATCTTAT